CAAAACTAGTCCGTTCATAAGGCATGTTGTTGCCACTCTGTTGGGCCTTTATCTTGCACTTTTTTGTTTTGGATGGTAAGTAGCTTGATTTTTCTTTTCAGTGCTTTTATTTCCTAGAGTTAATTTTTGATTAGGCTCTAGAGTAATCTCTGTGTCTCTGAAATGCTAATTTAATTCTAATAGATAAAAGTTTATCAACAAAGGAGCAAATCAGGGCACTGTTTTATTTCACTCTGTTGCTTAAAACTGAATTGGTACTTGGATTAATAAACCATTATACTACTATTTCCTTCCTAGGTATGCCTTACATTTTGTTATACAAAGTGGAATTTCATACTATATCATGATCATTATAGGAGTGGAAAATATGCACAAGTGAGTATTGAGCTATTCATACATCCTTAAGTGAAGTACAAAGGGCAATATAATTTGCAAGTGAATGGGATTTTAGGAGAAAAGGTATATGTTTTACGAAGCAAATAAGTCCTATCCTAGTGCATTCCATATCTTTTCAGCACAGTGCATTGTTTTAGGAGTATTTTAGAATCATTTCCAGTGCCTAGATTCCCCTTAAGGTACCTTGTTTATGTAGAAAAATACTGTACGTCTTATCTGCTGTTCAGAGTGCCAGAAGCCGATCACACCTATTGTTTACAGAAAGAAACCCTGGAGAGATGCTGTAATTCTCTGTACTGAGTAGCTAACATGTTTTCATTGCTTCATCATCAGTTTTCTGACTTACACATTTGTATTCCATCTAAATACAAAAATCTGTAACAGTTGAGTATGTAAAGAAATTGAGTTTCATTTTCCTGTTTTTTTTTTAAAGAAAAAAGACAGTACTGTTATATCCATGAATAAGCATAACTTGCATGCTTCGATTTAGGTATGGGGTTTTTTTTTATAGTCTCCTCATTGCCATTTGCATAGTTTATGCTGCATGTTGCCCCCTTGTCTTGTTAATTTGAATGACTGTACTATACATTATCATGAGCAGAGTATGTTTATAATGTGCCTGATAAAACAGAAATCAGGGCAAGTTCCCCCCAAAACTGCCATTTTATAAGCTTTAGTTCTCAAATATGACTCCACTTGAGGTATAGTTGTTCAGCCTGATGGGGGTCTATAGTTGTGCCAGATTTCAAACCAGTGTGATACAGTTGCCAAAGTAAGTTGAAAAATGCTCAGCTTGACCCATCTTGGAGTACACATGTCATAGTTTTGTGAATTCTGGTAAAAATTAATTGTGCATTATGAAGACTCATTCAGGAAGCCAGTCCTTCACTGACTGGGTGAAATTGTAAACAGTGGTTAAAAAAATTAAGATTTTATTGGGCTGTTAAAGGCTAGAATAGCCTTCTCTAGACTTGTTTAGCCTTTTTTTTCTTCTGGATGTGATGAGACTTCAGCTCCCCAAATTCCCCAGTTATTCTGGGTTGATATTGAAATAATTTTAATCCCAGTACATTTGGAAGGCACCAGGTGGGGAATTCTGGCTTTTGGTAAAATACTGACAATATTAGTGCATGTTCAGCTTTATTCTGAAATTAAGATGTTCAGTACTCTTAGGTGTTTGCATATGGAATTTATGTTGCAGAAGAAATCTAGTGAATTTTTTGTGTATTCTTGTAATTATGGCAGTAGAATTACTAGTAATAATAACTTTATTTCATGTATATAATTAAGTACCAATTAAGTATAGTATAAGATCAACATTATTGTTTAGCATCATGTTACTACATGAATTGGTACTGTAATGTGTAGGTTTTTGCCTCCTGCAATAAGCTTGAATATTAGCTGTGCTGGTTCTGAAAAGCTGCCGTAAGCAATTCTGAGGCACATTTTCTTGAAGGACATTATGGAGACCTCAGGAAGGGTAAATCAAAACCATCAGCATTAAGGACATAGTAGCAAACTGAAATCTCATAAAAAAGAATATCTGTAGCTCAGGGTTGAATTGTGGAGTCCTTGGTGTTCTCTGAGCTTGGTTGTTTGCTTGCAGACGTTGTTTGGTAACATCATCAGTGCTCACATCTGCAGGCGAAGGGCTCCACAAACTGAAATCTGTGTATCTGTATTCCAGCTCATGGGCTATGTGGCAGCAAACAGGTCTGAGATGAGAGACCCTATGTGCTGTTGAAAAATTGATTTACAGTGGTACCTCGGGTCATGAACGCTTCTGTTCACGACCAATTCGGGTCACGAACGGCACCGTTCGCAAAATTTTGCTGCCGTTCGCGAACGCCGGATTGGGGGACGAACAGGATCCGCGGCCATTTTC